AGGACCTGACTCAGATTACATAAAAAATACATACTGTACAACTAAAATGACAGCATTAAAGCTACAGCACACTTTAAATGTACAATACAGCACCAGCTCATACCGTACGCGCAGACACTGCATCCATAATTTATATCACTCTACTACTGATATACAGCATGTTTTCTATCAATAAAAATCCCCATGGTGTCTTGTGGTTTATACACTGTCACTAGCATCAGACTCGCAGATTTGACTTCACCCCCCAAGAGCCTATTAAATCAAAGGGCTTGTGCAACTTACACATTAAAAGGCACGTTAATGCGAGTTTGAGGGGGAATAAAAATGGCAGCATCCCTTGCATTGATCCTCCCATGAAGCCACTCTGATGAGGCGAGTCAGGCGGCCACAGAACCGGCGTCACCCCCAGCGCAGACCCGATTTCCTGACGCTCATAGGCTGGTGGCAAATGCGCGTCTCCGAGTACAAAGCAGAGCCACCACCACGGTAAGAGAGCCCCCCCCCCCCCAAGCATGTCGGTTGTTGCAGTCGTCAGGGGCTACAGGCGGGGGTCACCCGATCGCCCGTCTGTTCGCCCCCCTCATCCTGTTTAATGGCCCCCACGAGTCCCGCTGGGTGACTCAGAGCTGCCTTTAACCATGGTCGTCCCACTCAACACAGCCCCCCCCAGCATCCACGGGCATGCACTCAGAAAAAACGCTGCAAGGATTAAAAACATAAACAGCAAGATCCTAACATGGCAGCAGTCTCACTCCAGGTCACCCACCAACAGGGCGAATCCGTTTGTTAATAGAGAGAGACCCATAAACATGGCCCATACATCCTTTATCCCACGAGGGTCTGCGGGAGTTAGAGGACTGGGCACCACAACCCGTCTGACACCATAAAGGTCGAACGAGGTGGGGGTCTTCCGTGAAGCACTTAAGAACTTGCAGGAAAGGGGTCCAGCCCGCCAGCAGCTGGCCACCCATGTTCTAGCAGAAGATCCTCCAGCCCCACTGGCCAGGATCTCTGGTGAGAATTCCTTCAAAGTTAATCCCACCACCGCTAATGCAGCCAGAGGCCTGCTGGCATCCTGACTTAGAGGGTTAAGCAGTGCTGGCATCCTGGGGACGAGAGGCAGGCGTCGAGGCATGGCTGCATTATCACCGGGTTGGGGGGGGGGGGATTGTTCAGATTAATCCAGTGGTGTGGAGGGGGGCACATGGCATCACCTTCCCCAGTTTAAAAATAAAAAGGCGTACAGGCACAGCGGGACATCCCCGCGAAGACAGGGGAAAGAGTACAGCACGCCGCTCGGGTAATTTCGATGGTATTTGCCTGATGAGCTCCCCCGTAAGGCCGCAGCGCGCCGCTCAGAAAGCGCTAATCACTAATTCAGCACAAGTGATTTCCAGCTAATTACTTCGAGAGCATTAGCATTTAGCCAAGACCGCGGCTGCTTCTGCTTAAACGAGGCCGTCGTTAAATATTCATGGGTTTAGCGACCCGGCAACGAAAATATTAACAGCGGCAAATACGGGAACATGCCCCAAAAATGACAGCTACACTCAGGCCGGGTGTAAGACACAAAGAGGGCCAGCCACACAGACCACGGCATGCTGGGATACGCCGCAGGGCAGAGACTCCGGCCAGAATTAATAGTGACGGCCTCACTTAAATTTCAGGGGAGGGGACTAGTCAGAGCTATTTCTAAACCTGTGTGATGGTCACTAAACTTACCCAGATCCTACATTTCAAATTTATATCCATTAGTAAATTATCTTGATTTTGAAAAAGACTTCTTAAATCACACCCAGTACAAGGATGTTATGACATGCCACATTAACAAAGTACAAATGTAATTTCAGAGATTCATTACTTTAAGTGACACACTACTTGAGACAACCTTAAAAAGTCTTATTTGTGTGGGTTACCAGTCAAAATTCCACCGTTACTTTACGGAAAGTTCTCAGAATTAAAATCCCATAAAACAAACAAACAAACAGTGACGACTCTATACAGCTCTCATGCTTTACTTACCCATTCTGTTGAGCCCATACTGGCTCTTCCCGGATTAGTGGTGGATATTAATTATACAGTACTGGATTAAAAGTACATACATTTTCATTCTGCTGAATTTCGCAATGCAGAACTAAACCACGGCAACTGGAAACTGGGGATCAGTGCAAAGTCTCACTCAGGAAGACCGACTTCAAAGGAAGTGAGAAGTCATGGGGTGAATAAAGGACATGGGACATATAAAAAAAAATACCCCGAAAAGCCACAAGGGGAACTGCTGGCGCAGGTAAATGGACCAGACAGGCGTCTTTACGATGACGACACTCTACATAAACCGCAGGCACGTCGGATAAACAGCGTCGGACTGCCGTTAAGTACTCGTCATACAAGAGCAGCCATAAAAGCCACGATCACACACGGTGTGTAATTTGTACGCAATTACATAATTAAAGCCCGAATTCTGTGGGCTCACTGCATTCTATAACATGCCACCGTCGTATGAGATAAAGCACGCTTTTCATATTTAATCGTTCACTAAGCAGTATGTATTTTATAATGAAAAGCAGCGGAGATGATTAACATTAAACGAAGACTCTGGAGCAAATCCGTATTCAGCCAAACCCACCCAACAGAAGTGTAGATAGAAATCAATGAGGCATCATCATACAAGAAAAATCATGTTCGGGTCTTAAACATTTTTAACAAGAAGTGACTGTCCATTCTGAATAATACACCAGCAGGCCTATTTTGACATGTGTTTCAATATTGTCATTTATTTGCTGTTGCGAAAGTCCCTTTGAGGAAAAGGGGAAGAAAAAAAAAAAAAGCTATCTTGCATACCAAAGAATTTTTAAGAACAGATGCACAGGAAATGATCTATAATCTGCTATCAGTTAGAAAACAGAAAATGCAAATTCCACTTAAAGGAGAAGTCGCTATTCCTGAAACGTTAAACCTTTTTGGACTAAAATTTCTTTCATTTGTTTTACAATCTGTCACAAAGGCATGGGAAGACGCTTTCAGCGGCAAATACCAGTTAATTTTCATTTGTTGTCCGACTGAAGAAATTACATTTCCAAAGAAAACGTATTAGAGTGGTGCTGACTGTAGCAACTTCCATTAAAAAAAATAAATCAAAATACAGTGCTAAGACACTCTGGATGGAAAATAAAGTGCAGAGTCCCCTCAAGCGGTCTTATAATGCCAGTGTGTTCAAATTACTAACCTACAGAGTCATTACGGAGAGGAAAAAACGGCTAAGTATTAAATAGGCTGATGATGCGGGAATTAAAATGAAAACTACTAAGCGAGAAAATGCACCCAAAGAATAAAATGAGAAAACCCTGATTCGACAGAAATGACGGTCAGAGGTGCCTCAGCTATCCACCCCAGCCTCAGAAAATGCAAATGACGCTGCAGCAAAAAAAATCACGACAATCTGATGACGAAGATTCGGTCTCAATTTCCTCCGGCGCTGATCCTTTAACGTTCACCCTCCAAACACACAGAATCCCCCCACTGTTGGTTTTCTTATGGAGTAACTTTTGATAAGGTACCTCACTGCCCCAGAGGTCCTGCCTGCAAGGCAGGAAAAGCCAAAGAGATGTGGACGTAGATGGGGTAGAAACAAGGAGCCAGGAGAGAAGCATCAAATCATGGCAACAGATAAAATGATAGCAGGTTTTCACACTTTCAGATGTTTCATTGCTATCATTATAATAAATTGGCCCACACTCTTTCTTCCGTCATACCTAAACATGTAGATACACAAGCCACTCCACAGATCCCAGCAGCCAGCCGCCACCAGATCCCATTCCCGCTGTCCTCTCCCACTACAGCTCAATTTCCTCTCTTCAAAGAAAACCTGTTATCTCATCGCCTGTTTTTATCTCTGTGGTCGACTTTGATTTGAACTTGTAAGAAGCCAAGATTCATTAAGAAGAAGAAGAATAAAATATAACTTGGCATAGGCCTATATGATCATCGCACAGGTGAGCTCCCGTATGACAGCCGGGTTTATGTGTTCAACATTTTAATAGAAACATTAAACTCCAGGCAGCAACAAATAGATCCCAGCAGCAAAACCCAAATTCCAGACTGGGAAAAGTCAGTGAAAAAGTACCATGGCATATTGGCACATATGAACTGTATTCCAACTTTTTTCGGTGGCAGAATCGTACACGGGAATGCAACTGATGCGTGACAGGAAAAGTGAGTTATATTTATATAGAGCTAATGCACAATCAGTGTGCGCTCTGCTCTAAAGCACGACACCATTCAACATGATTAAAACAGCTGTTATTGCAAGCAGTGCCGACTCTTAAATTACGCAGCATGGATAATGCTGCGTAATGCCGACTGCGCGACTTCGGACTGGGGAAGCTCTCAAAACGCGGGGGCCACGTTTCATTCATCCCTCCGATTTACGTGATTTCGAGGCAGAACCGTTTCAATTATTAACATTAGCCTTATTCAACAATGTGTGCACTTCCTTATTAATGGCATCGAGTCCCTCAGTCCACTGGGAATTCCCCCCGAAAAGCTAAGGCGATGCAGGACGGGGATGTGACTCAGAGTTTCCATTCACAGTACAGCGGAAGGGCCAGAGGGAAAAAATGACAGAGCAGCCGCGATCGCCGCTGTCTGGACAGCGATTTGCCTGCGATTGTAATGAATGGAAGTGGAAATCGCATTATTTCAACTGAAAGCACTCAGGAGAGCCACAGTCGGCGGGATCGGCGCGGCGAGACGAAGGCGCACTGGGGAAAGTCTACGGCGGCGCTATTTACATTAAACGGCAGGACGAAGGTCACGCTGCTTTCAACATTAAATGTTTTTTAAAAATGTATAAAATTAAATGTTAATGTTAAATGTGATATGAAGCTTATAATCCAATCTCCATGAGACAAGTGCAATCATGGCATGCACAGACTCCAGCACTCATCCTAAATCACACTCCGATTTAAGTGCGACTGATTAAAAAAGTTTCACGTGTACAAATAAACTGAAGACGTATTCTGACGCTTACTTGTCATATTCAGCGTTGTCCCTGTCGCAGCGAGCGTCCTTATGCTTCTGCCAGTCCTTGCCGTGCTTGCAGGTGGTCAGTAGCACCACGTCCTCGGCGTTATGCACATGATATAAGGCATTCCTCGTGTCGGACCCAATTCCAGTAAGGTAGCGCTTTCCCTTGAACACCAGCATGTATTTCCTGAAAGGTGGGATGGTGTTGTATTTTAAATATCCCCGCTCCCCTCCGGTCCTGGGGTGCTCTTTCGAGAACAGCGGGATCGACACATCAAAGTTGGGTCTGAAGTTCTCAGTACTAATACTAGCCTTGGCCAACATGGCCTGGCCGATATCGAAGCCCAGATCTTCCGTATAGTCCGGCCATGTCCCCGAGTACAGGTTGAATATAATGTGGTTCCTACCATTGTTCCAAAGATGTAAGCTCTGGACTTTAGTTTTTAGATTATGCACATACTGCGGTGACAGCTGATCCCGGTCCAGTGTGTCCAGGCTCAGCACGAACAGACATGCCTGTCCAGGATCCGAGGTGTAGAACCTGGAGCCCTCGATGGCCGACAGGATATTTTGGTAACTTTCAGAGATTTTCTCCCCCTTCTGCTGGGGATAAACGTAAACTTTAAAGCCGGTTCTTTTACACAGGGAGAAATCAAAGCAGGAGTCCATGCGGCACCTCCTGCCCTTGTAAACGCTTGAATTGACGTCCCTCTTCTGCCTTGGTGATGTGTGAACGTTGTAATCCTCGGTCTCCACCTGATCCCAGGGAATGAAAGCCTGTAAAGAGTCCGCGAAGTCCGGCCAGGGCTGTTCGGGGTAAAACCCATTGCGACTGCGCTCGTCACGCCGGCTCGGGCTCCGGCTCGACGCCGGGACTTGCACCCCTCCGAAGTAGAACAGCAGAACAAGACATGCGCCGGCAGAGAGCAAAATTAAATAGCGTTTTTTGGCCTGCATGTGTCCTGCGATCTGAATCGAGATGTTCGCGAATGAATCCAAAGCGCCCCGAAGTTTTGCTCTCACCAGCCCCAGCTGCACCGCTCCGCCATCTTCCAGCATACAAAGCTCTCAAATTCACGTCTTCCCTCTTCTTCTGATTCCGTTCCCCAATCCAGCGATTGATCCAGAGCATGTGGGCGACTTTATTATTTATTATCTCTGTCTCTCCCTTTTCTACCTACCATTTTACGACGGCGTAATTGTGCGGAGCGGCGGAGGATTTTCTTATCTAAATCCAGTTTTAAAATGAAATCTGTGTCTACAATCTCTGCCGTACCTACGCATACAAAGCTACACCTTCACTCCGCATTTCCTCGCCTGGGACTGGAGAGCAATGGCTAACAATCTCTAGACAAGCCTGGCGGAGGGTCCGAGCCGCTTTACCTCAGAGCAACTGACCGGGAGAGTACCCACAGTTTGGATGTTAAGTCGTTAACACGCCGACAAGGGTTTAAAGCCTTACGTTTGGTAACATCCAGATGCCTCTGAGTCAATTTGCCCCGCTTTCGCTGTATATTTGCTGCAATTGTGATTCACTCCATGATTGTAGCGAAATCAGATGCATGAAAAGCAAAAGAGTAACAGTTTATCTAAGCGACTGTAACCTAACAAATCCCTGCATCTCATATTTTTTATTTATCCGATAGCGCCCCATACGCGTTAATATAAATCCTTCTCATCGGGTTAACGCCACCGGACCTAAAATAAACAAAAGGAAAACTGACACTAATACCGGCCGACTCCGGCAACCCTTGAAGCACTAAGAGCAATAGCGAAAGAAGCTGTTTAAACAGAAAGACCCCTTGATCCGAGTGCCCAGTGCCCGAGCGCTTAGTTGTTCCGATTGTTTCACTGTAACATTCCAATCCCGACACGACGGCAGCCGGAGTGACGTCCCACCGCCGAGCGTTGAGCTCCCCTATTGGTTGACGTCATGACCGGAAACGGTATTGTACTTCCGCTGCACCCATTCATAACCAGAGCGCAGCGAATTGTGAACTTCGGAAAAAATCGGCGCGCTATCGGGGTTGGTGGCGGAACTTGTAGAGTAATGTCTAATTAACAAGCAAACTATATGATATTAATCAGCATTTTAAATCAAAATTTTATGCGTGATGCTTAAATGAAGCAGACGAAGAGATGATTTATCGTTTTTAGACTTTTTTTTTTTATCGCACCTGAGTATAATTTGGATTAATTATTTCAATTAAACTTTCAATTTAACCAGTTCATTTGCAGTTTTAAAACATGATTTGGAAAATACTTAGCAATCAAAGTCTAAAAACTGGTAGCTGTGTGTGGAAGCTGATTATTCATCTCCTCCTAAATTGAATAAGACGTATAGGAGAGGAACGGTGCCATGCCCTCTTCGCCGTAAATTATGTATGGAATTTAATATAGATTATGGTGGTAATGGCGAATTCTTTTTAATGTTAAAATAAGAAAAAGAATTCTAATAGAAGTGGACTCGATGCATGCAAATTACCACTTTAGGTTTGTTATTTTTAAACCATGTGGTCACAAATAAAACATTAACCGAGCCGTTTCTAGGCAATACATTGAGGCGCTTCTCGGTGTCGTGTAATGTACATTACAGTGTCTACTTATCGAACAATTAACATGTACAGTGAAGACGAAGTTTTTCTGCGCGAATGTTTTATGAGAATTTCTAAAACTCTGGTTTTATGACGGCATTCTCAGCTGGGTAGGCGAAATCACACTTAGGCGTTTTTGACTGGGAGATCATTGGATGGGTAGGTTAAGAAGCCAGATGGAGATTACAGCCAGGATAATTGGAATAATACCCATCGTTGCATATGTTGTAAGACATTTGATGGCCACGATGTCATAATCTTTTTATATCTCACCAAAGGACTTTGAAGAGCAAAATGTCCCCAGTTTCTCTGAGGGGATTTTTTTTTTAATCTTCCTCTTTGGGTGATGGCTTCCTGGCTTCTCATGAACGAGTCTTTCACCAGCTCTGTGATCATAGTTTTATTTAAAATGGAAATACATTTCTGTTTAACTTACAAGCTATTTGACGTGGGAATCTACCCTCTGGTTTGGGGCTTGAATTAGAGAGAAGTTTCTGCTTGTCTTGTCACTCATAAGAGGATTATTTTGTTTAGTTTTTTTGCTCTGCTCAGGATTGTTTTTTTTTGTTTCTAACGCAGATAGACACTGTGAAAGCACTTCCTATTCAGACTGCCGGCAACTGTGATGAATACCTACTTCTGAAAACTCTGTCTAGGGGTTCAGAGAGTTCCCAGGATGGTGGCAGACAAAACAGCTTTTGAGAGCTCTCTCCACCCTGTAGATAAGGCTGTGAAGAAACCCACCGCCAACAGATGATGTAACCTGTCCCTGACATATCAAATGGGAATGTGAACGCAAGCAGAGGACAAAAGCACTTCAGTATACCGATAAAAATCTCGACAAGCTGACCCAGAAAAAGGCACTGTTTGTCCACTTAATTGACCACTAAAAGTTTCACATAATTCATTATTATTTAGCTGGAAATATACAAACATGTATTGCAAAATGCACACAATAGCAAATAACATCCATTTATCAGAAAAAAAAAATATTTTTTACGATTTACAGTTTGTTAAAGGGCAGAACTGTAATATTATGAGAATCGGACGATCTACACTAAAATCCATGTAAGTATGACTCAAGCACATAAACACACCCACACATGCTGGAATGCATCTATATATATTCTATATTTGTGGCCATTATCTCCAAAACTTGATTACAAACAGTTTAAAACATTCATAAGAGTGGACATCTTATAGAAATTCCCTTACAACATCACCCACATGATAGAAAAGAAGCATTTTATCTTGTGGGAACACTCTCAAAAATCTACACCTTTCATCTCTAAGGTTAGGAAAACATGCAAACAGACACTGAACTCTCGCATTCCCACATAAAGCTTGGGGTCCAGGCCATTGGAATCAATGCAGCCTTATTGTGGGGTCTTTTCTAATGTCCTCGTGCTTTTCCTTCAAGCTGATCTTATTCCTCCCTTTCTGTACTTCTGCACATCCCAGCTCACAGATCCCCACTCATTTCCACTTGACCACAACCGAGAGAGTCGTGCAGGCTGTGCCAGTGAGCTGCTGTGAAAACGACAGCATCGATCCCTGCGTCCCCCATTGCTTGTGTTTGCCGGTTTGTCTGGGTACAGCTTTGTGTTATTTTATCGTGATCTTTTTCGACTCTCTCGCCCACATATTAGAAAGACCCACACTGTTCAAAATGCAAGATCTGTTTTTAAAAAGAAACCACCTTCGTATCCAGGGCGGATAAGGAACAAGTTCTAAGTGCAAAAATTCTGTGCAGTGGTATCTGTTTTTTTCAAGACCGGTGGTCTGAAACATATCAGCGATATTTTTAAACTTCATTTTCAGTGGGTAGCTGCTGAAAGCACTTCTCAACAAATCTTTTCTTGCACGATTCTGTGAAGAAAAGCTGCAAAGGCTGAGCTAGGCAGCGAAACTGTTGCCTTGAGATTAAATAATTAAATAAAGGCAACAAAGCAGACAGCCTCAGGTTTGTAAGAAAATCTAAGCTTCCACCGCCTTCAGCACCTAGTCATAATATACAAGTCATTACTTGGAATCTGAACACTGTGGTCTGTTTTGAAATTTTGAAACACTCCAATTAATATTTATCAAATGTGAGGTCTTTGGACCTCATTAAAAATTGATCATAGAATTTATCATAGAGAAGACATGAGTTGATTTGATACCTGTGTAGTGTATTGTTAACTCCCAAAGAATATTATGATATGGATATGCCTCTCGTGGCTGGTTTTGGCATCTCAGTGGGTAGTGCTGGATCCTCCTTCATGGTTGTAGGTTTGAATCCCACCCCTGGTTCTCTGTGTGTGCAGCTTGAATGCTCTCCCCACGTATGTGTGGGTTTCTTGCCGCAGTCCTAAAATACATCATTCCGTTTGATTTGGTGACTAAATAGCCTAGGAAAGAGATTGGTTAGAAGACAAAGAGAGTACAAGAACAACAGGTTTCCTCACCTATGGACTTTGAAACCTAAAGACAATTGAATCGATTGCAATAGAGTATAAAATAGAAGAAATTTAACATTGGCAAGGACACATCTTGCAATAATGTAGCAACTGCTGGGAAATTAAGCGTGTCATTAAATTAATCATCCTTCAATATGTTAATCATCTCTATAAAAGCATTCCTTAACAGTCACAAAGAAATTACTTTCCGCGTTACACACCCGGTTAGCACTATACATACAAACTGCTAGACACCTCAAATATTCGCTGAGTATTATGTGCCCTGTTAAGAAATATTTTGGGAATAGTGCCATAATCCCAGATGTCAAATAGAAATACAATGTTCTTCAGGCGACTGAGAGGAGAACCTTCTTCTTTGAAAAGAAAACCTCTCCGCATTTTGTTCTCCGAGAGACCACGAGTCAGCCATGAGTCGTCCTTGGGGCTCCATATTCAGCGCGGTTGATAAGGGTGAGCCTTTTTGTCTGCATTTTTAGCCAGATTTGGAAACTGAGTATCTCATATCATAGGAGGGCTATGGTTTCTTAACAGGCCCCTGCTTACTGGTGCATTTTTTTTTGGAGTGTAGCAGGTTACATGAGCAACTTGAAGGCAGGCCTGACAAACACACCAGCTTCAGCTGGAATCAGACTTAAGAACAAAGACTGAAATACCTTCGGATCCTCAGGTTAGATCGGCGATCATCCAGCCCAGCCTGGTCCAGGTCTTCGGGAAGCTCCTGTCCAACGTAACAACCTGCTGTCATCTAAGAGTATGAGCATGCAAGAGTCAGTGACATGGCTGAAACCTTTATACGACTGTATACCTGGCTGGAGGCCTTCAAGCAAGCACCATGATCCAGGCCTCTCACAGGACTTGAACCAGCCTTGGTCATGTGACAAATTTATGTCATTAACCTTTCACATGCTGGGTACCATAGGAGCACAATCTCCATCTGAAAATATAGTCCTGTGTTGTACAACACGAAAGGCCGTCACTCAGTAGATGTCCCACTGACAGATGCCAATCTATTCCTTATGTTGTTTTTTTTCCGCATTACAGTACCTTTTTTGTAGGGTAGTCGTCCTTTTCAACTCCAGATGTGGCTTGACTGGTAAGATGTTACTGTAGACTGAGTAATATACACTTAAATTATTTGCTAAGTAGACAATAAAAGCGAATGAACTATAGATTTTTTTATTTTTCCTCAGTGTTCTACAGTGAGTTATATTAACAAAATACAGGGGAACGTTTTTGTGGCTGAAATCTCACATTATATACACAGATACATGAGAACGACACCAAGATACATTCCAGGCAAGCTGAAGTGCACTGCAAAGCTTATGACTAAATTTTCCATATGTCAGAACAAATATGTTGCGCGAACTCAGATGTTTTTCATTATTATGTCCCGAGGCATGCTTTTTAAAGTGGTTATGCCCCCCAATGAAAAATGTGCTTAAAATGAAAAAGATGACTGACAGGTGGGATCATATGCAGCCATCACCTACATTATGTCCTGATTCAAACGAAACAATTAACTATTTTGCAGAGATTCAGAATGTATTCCACTCCTCACAATCAGTTTATAAACTGAGGGTATAATAGTTGCCACTCTTGCCAATCAAGAGAGAGTTATGACCTTCTGAAGGTTTTTGTTAATATATCCTCACAGGTTGCATGTGGGATCAGCTTCCCTGCCCTCTAATTGTGGCGCACTAACCAGAAGCCGCACGCTAACCAGAAGCCGTACGCTAACCAGAAGCCCTACGCTAACCAGAAGCCGTATGCTAACCAGAAGCCGTACGCTACACTCTATCTCCTAAATCCTTTATCTGCCCTCTTGAGATCAGGTCGTCTCCCAGCTG